AGAACTGAGCACAATGTATAAAACACTGAACTGGACAAAGAAGTGAAGAAGAGTGCGTGCAAAGACAAAAGACACTTCTGCGAAACACTGGCAAGTGAAGCAGAACAGGCTGCAGGTAGGAGAGATAGAGACCTGACAACATTGTATCAAATAACGAGGTTACTATGTGGGAAGAGATCAACGCAGACGAAACCAATAAAAGATGATGACGGAAATTTAATTACGAAAGAAGAGAAACAGAGGAAACAATGGGCAGACCACTTCAAGAAGCTCTTGAATCGACCACCACATGCACTTCGTCCAGAAATACCACCTGCAGCCGCTGAATTACAAGTGAACATAAATCCTCCAACAAAAATGGAAGTCCTGAACGCCATAAAGCTACTGAAATGTGGGAAAGCAGCAGGACCAGATGGAATCCCACAAAGGAAGCACTGAGAGCAGATGCAGAGACAACAGAGGACACGTTCACACCACTAATGCACAAGGTCTGGAAGGAAGGGAAGATACCTACAGATTGGAAGAAGGGTTACCTTGTCAAACTCCAAAACAAGGGAGACCTCAGTGTTTGCAAGAATTGGCGAGGAATCAATCTCCTGTCCACCCAATGCAAGCAAAATATTATGCCACATCATACTGGAGAGAGTGAAGGATGTACTGGATTCAAAACTTTGACCAGGACAGCCTGACTCGAATCAACAAGTACAAATCATGTGCTCATCAAATTGCGTCGCTACACTACTCCACGCTACGCATCATCATAGAACAGAGTATAGAATGACAGTCAAATCAACTCATCTCAACTCAACTCAACTCAACTCTACCTCAACTTCATCGACTTCGGAAAGACCTACAACAGCGTCGACCGACAAGTAATTTGGCAGTTGCTTCAATACTACGAAATACCACAAACCTTTATCAATCTCATTCAACAACTAACTATATGAAGACACGACACACCAAGTAATTCACAATGGGAAGCTGAGTGATGACTTTGAATCGAAGACAGGGAGGAGTGAGACAAGGCTGTCTACTATCACGGATGATCTTGCTGATTGTGGTCGAGTGGAGTGGATGATGCATGAGACAAGTGTGAGGAGTGAGGGGAGAGGAGGGGAGGGGAGGGTAGGGGAGGGAGGTGGATAGGGTGGCTGGAGTGGGGAGAAGATCCTGGTAGATTTGGATTTGGTGCATGATGACTTGTGTGTAATGTGTTGTGGCACAAACTTGAAGATCTACAAGTGAAAACTAAGAAGTTGAGAGAAGAGGTGAGGTGAGGTGAGGTAGGGCAGTGAAGAAGGGACTTCCTTCAGGTGAAGGTAGAGAGGAGGGAGGTGATGAAGATACCCAACCAACACCAGCACCAACACAATCACCACCACCACCAACAACAACAACGATAAGTACCAATCACCATGAACAGGAGAAACTTGAATGAAGTAGCCTCTTTCACCTATCTAGGCAGAGCTGCCTGAATTACAAGCGGCAGCCTCTTTCACTTATCTACGCTGGGCAGCATCGTTTCAACTTCAGACGGTGGCAGCACAGGCACAGACGATGACGTCATAGCAGTCAGGATCGAAAAGTCAGCAAGATAGGCATTCATTAATCTGAAACCAGTGTGGAGATCTACTTCACTCCACCCAGCATAGAATGTGAACAATATCCACATTTCCAACACTAATTCAGTCAGTCAGGTAAGTCAGTGCTTCTATGTGATGGTTGAGAGATTTGGCGGTGCGTTACGAAAAGCATTTGTAACAAACTACACACATTGATGAACAACTGCCACCTACACTGGCTCATTACTGAAGCTCAGATGGATTGCCAGAATAATAATAATAATAATAAGAAGAAGAAGAATAAGCAAGAAGGAACTGTGGCTGGCTGACTGACTGACTGGCTGGCTGACTGCCTGACTGGCAGGCAGGCTAGCAGGCAACGAACCAACGAAGTAGGAACCTATCACTCAACAAATATGCAGGAGTGAAGAAGTGTATATGGATTGGGCATTCAGTGAGGAGGTCGATTGGGGACATCATGTACCAAGTCAGGCCAATCGCTCGAGTGGAACCCAGATGGGAGACGACGAGTTGGGTGTCCGAGATGAGATGAGGTGAGGTGAGGTGAGGTGATGGTGAGATTGAGGAGATGGTGTGAGGAGGAGATGAGAGGTTGTGGGCTGTTGTGAATCCAGGTTGGAAATATTGCAAAGAAGGGAGTGTAGTGGAGACGTGTTAGGAAGGCCCAATGTTACATTGGGAACCCAACAGACAAATAATTAATAATAACAATGTCGCATTACTAAGCTACTTTAATAACGAAGTGAAATCAGGTAGTGTACTTCACTATGTTTTGTGGATATCAGTTAGCCTACTTGACATTTATAACTTCAATGAGTTATTATTTGAGAACATACCATCAATATGCGATTGAGGTGATCAACTTAGTAGAATGACAGCTGGCAGGAAACCATGAAACTCTCCATGATTAGTAGACTTTGAGAGCATGAGCACTTTATGACTTGTTTATGTATCCTGCTCAGAACTATATAGAGGAAGTTATCTCTCTTATGATTCAATGAGGTCAACTTTTATTGAATCAGTGAATGATGACGGTTTGAATTTAGATAAGAATTCAGTTGTTCATAATACACAATTGGGCTACCTTATTGAACACAAGTAACCACAATTTTTTCGTTCAGATTTTTCTGTTGCTTGTATCATATTATCGAACACTGAATTCTTCTAAAAATACAGTATAGTTAGTGGAATGAATATACAAGTGTTGATCATAGGATAATTAACGTATTCTAAAAGATGTCACTATTGAGAAGTACAATAAAATCATCTGATGGTTAAATGACTACTCATGGTCTATTAGAAGAGTATCAAGAGTGACTGAAGGTAGCTCAGGAGAACGAACGCTATGTATGGTAAACAGAATTTACCAGTACTATAGTCTTGGTTTACTCTTCATTATGATTCTCGGTGGCTTACGCTAGAAGGATTCGTTGATGACATCGAATCGGTTTGAAAGTTGATTATCCAATTATTTCAGTCATTTACTGTAACTTCATGCATCTAAAATGATGATAATGAAGATGATGAGTTGAATAGTGTCCGATGGCAATGAGCAATGGATATAAGTAGTTTTTTGTTGAGAGGGTGGCAGGAATCATAGGGATTTACCAACAATGGGTAAGGTTTCTGCCAAGAGCAACGCAAGAGATAACGCAGGCGTATAAAAGTGGATGCTGTTGTTAAGAATGTATGAAGAGCAGATCAAGAGCAAATCAAGAGAGGAAAAGAAGAGGAAACCAAGCACATTTGCAAATGACTGGGTTAGTGCAAGGTGTACTATATCTAGCGACTACCGTTCCAATGGTTGTCTGCCAACCGTGTTTTTTTGAGTAGTTGGTATTTAGATTCACAGTTCAACAGAAATATCAGAAAATTGCTGCTCAAGTATAACCAACTAATTGATTCAAAATGTTATAAACTGCTCAACTCAGTTTATACTGTTAATCACTTACAAACACCAAAGGAATGTAGATCACCAATGGTATCTGAACATTTTATGGACAAATGGATAAAATCAACGTAGAAACTCGCACATAAGTGTGTCTGTTTACGTTAGTAAACCTCACAACAATAGTAGATAAAGTTGTATGAGAGAATAAATAATTCGAAGACAAATGTTAGAGAAAATGTTCAAGCTTTAGAAGACATCAATAAGGGATTACATCGACTATATTGTGGTCGATTTTCAGGCATATCACCAACAATCCTCAACCACTGATTCATATCGTCTGGCGGATCCCAGCCAGGTAGTATACACGTTCTCACACACTTCAGACCAACAGCCAAGGACTTCATCGTCTGATGGCACGTCTTGGTCCTGCCATCTTAAACTCTCTTCCATCCTAATCCAACTTCCACCAGTACGGTATGTCGACATAGACGGTGGTTTGGCATGTGCTGTATGTGTCTAAGCCATCTCAGTCGACTAAGGTTCACAACCTCATCGATCGACTTGTTTGTCTTGATTAGTATCGTTTACCTGACCTCAATATTGCTAACATGGTGATTTCACTAAAAGTGAGTGATGCTATGACGACACCTGAAACTGGAAACCTCTAACCACTTCATATCTTCTATATTTAACGACCATGCCTCACAGCTGTATAACAGGACAGAATCGACTGCAGTGCAGTACACTCGTTCTTTGATAGATAGTTTGATATCTCGTCAGTCGGCGCTACAGATGATGCAAGTTGGCAAATGCCGAACAGACCTTCCGTATTCAAGCTGAAATGTCGTCAGCAGCCAGTCCGCTCGAGGTGATGCAACTCCTCAAGTAAGTGAAGTGGTCAATGTATTCCACCACTTCACTCCCTATCCTTAAACTAGGAATAGTTATAAACCAATCCTGGAGCACTATCTTGAATTTGAGAGGTGGGAAACATACTCAGATTTCTGTTTAACGCTTTCAGAAGACCCTGTATTTTGTCAAGGTCTTCCCCTAGCAGGACGCTATTGTCTGTACACTCCAAGTCAACCAGATAATATCCAGGGAGTAGATCAATCCCTCTGAAGTTAAACGTAACTAAAGTTATGTACATTAGTAAGTTTATTACGGGATGGTGCATGGATAGATGCAAAACGTTCGAATATGATAAGTCAATCACACAATCATTGTTGTCCCTAGTGGTTCATAATCAGAAACCAGAATACTGTTGTTACACTGACCATTATCGCATAAATGACTTCAAACAAGTGGTGGAACACTGGTCATAGCACCTGCGATAACATCGGTTAGCAGACCGATATATGGTCTGAATAGAGGTAATGGTTGAATTCAACTGTCAACCTGAGTTATGCTGAAATTTACTCTGATGGTCTCTCCATAAACTACTAAAGTTTAAATTACATGCAAAGAGATCAAATTTTGTGTTGTAGAAAAACAAGACAAAATTAAAGTGAAGTAAAGGAAATTACCAAGTTTATTATGCGCCATGTATTAGTTTGTTCCACTGTCTTCAAGTAGAATGTATCTGCTTGTTTGATATAAACCATAGTACCAATTGGGAAAGCATGTGATACTTTGCTCAAATCCCCTTCAGTCTCCAATACCATTGCCTTTTATGGAAAAAGAAATTGAAAAAATGAACAAGCATCAATGACAAATAGATGTAAAGGTTAAACACTCACTGCAAATAAACATAGTTAGTTTTATTCTTGACTTCAAGTTCGCATTCATTATGGAGTGACATCAGTTGGAGGGACATTGAAAACTAGGGATCGAACCCAGTGACTCAATGGTAACCTGCTGGTCACGAAACTTGAAGGTCCTGGGTTCTATACCTGACTGGTCCGGGTCATGGGTGAACACTGTTGAGGAGTCTTAAGCTAGGGAGAAACAGCTGTCCAGTGCTCCCAGGTTTCCAATGTTCCTCCAACTGATGTCCGTTTACGATGAATATCAACCTGAAATCAATACAAAAATCCCCACAACTCCCCAACTTGAATTGATGTAGTACTCATTCGTGACTAGCTTCGAGAAGTGATTCCTGAAGCTCTGATGAGAAGCCATGACTACTGGGGCAAACCTGATGGATGTGAGGACAAATACTTGACGAAGGCAGTCGGTGATGGTACCGCTATGTCGTGAACTGACGGAAGTTGGAGATATGAACTGTTGGGTTCCAAACCATTGGCTCAATCGTGACGTGCTAGCTGTGGGACCTGAATGTCCTGGGTCCGACCCCTGTCGAGTAGGTGAGTAGTCCCATACTAGGACGAAATCGATAAAAAATATCTCCAAAAATCTTAAAATGAATACTTTTGTTCTTTTAATCGGTGCAAGTAATCCTATCAGAGAGTTTCCAGAGGGTGATTGTACTTCTTTTGCCTTTGGGACAGAATATTAGTTTGTATCTACTCACTGTAAGGTTTTAAGTACTTCTACGTGGCAGTATGGTGTTGCCAAGATGTCAATGAAACTACTCACCGAAGACATTATCTGATGTCTCAGAGAAAAAGATTGAAATACGTATTCAGTCATTGATTTGATCTGGTTCACCTGCTTAATACTGTGACTGATGTCTGTGTACTTATTTCATTCAGTTGTATAGTTTGATGTGCCAATGGTAAGAAAATAAGATGTCTGTGTGCTGCAAAGTATATATAGAAAATCGACGTCCAAGGCACAGTTTACACACTTTTGCAGCTTCGTTCCAATGAAGTACTAAAGCAGTATAATCAAGCGCTTGGTATTTACAGTAAGATTGATTTCTTATAAAGGATATGTGGAAAAAGAACTACTGTGTATCCGTGATATTCTAAGTGAAAATGGATATTTGGAAAAGTTCATCAAAGCTAAAATCATTACAGTGGTCTTAAACGAGAAATGATGATAGTGGAGAAGGACTATTTGTTTCTAAGTTTACAATTCAAGGAAGAGGTCCTGGGTGACATCTTATCACGACACCTAGGTAGAGCAGTTAATAGGATGTTTTATGCAGGCCAGCTGTGCATATCTTCCAGTAGTTGGCCAATCCTAATCTCAGTTCATCATCCTGCATATATGAATCTAACTGTTCCTGTGGAACAAGTTATATAGGACGTACGATTAGGCTGATGCGTCTTTAGATACAAAGCTATTTAGCGGCTTGGTTTACAAAAAGGTGACGTGAAAGTGGTGAAAAATTTCATCCTATGGCACCTCGGGCATCTTACAGTTGTTAATAAAGCTTTCAGTGTCATAAATCGCATTCCAAAAACTATACCATGTGTAACTCATCTACACCTGCTCAACATAGCCGAGACGGTCACAATAAGACTGATCGAATATGAACTGATAATTCAGAAACATCATGTTGAAACGTTACTTCTCCCTTGGCTCTGAAATAAAACTAAAACTCACTCCTGTCTTCTTTATTTTTTGTCTTTTCTCTTACCATCACATTCTTCATTTCTACATAAATATATATTTCAAGTTGTTATTAATTGTAGACTGACATCAGTTGAAGGAACAAAGGAAACCTGGCAATCAGGCAAAGCCTGATGGTCGTGAGGACAGTTACTCAACAATGAGATTGGGTGGCAGTTGAACTATATCGTGAGCTATCAGAACTTGAAAATAGGGACCATCGGATTCTGACCCAGTGGCTAGCTCAATTGTAACGTGCCGGCCACGGGACTTGAAAGTCACGGGCCTGATCCCTGGCGGGGTCATAGGTGTGCACTACTGAGGAGTCCCATACTAGGATGAAGCAGCTGTCCAATGCTCCCAGGTTTCCTTTTTTCCTCCAACTGATGTCGGTCTACGATGAATAACAACTTGAAATATTTCCAAATCCTCACAACTACCTCGAAATTCAATATATATATATATATATATATATATATATATATATATATATATATATATATATATATATATATATATATATATATATATATAATCCTTATATTGACTAATTAGAAAAAGAAAAATCGATTTCTTTACAGTCCTTAAATCTCACTCTATTTTGAGAATGTATTTGTCCCTAACTTGGCTTGATTCCACGCTGTACAAATGCATTTCATAATTGTAGAACGTGAAAATAATTTATTGCAATGTTCTTCATTCAAATTGTTACTTTCTATTAATATTTTCATATTTCAATATCAAGGGGATCATGTGCTTTTGTTTTTGAATGAACTGAAGCCTAGCCTTTGTATGAAAATGAAATTGGAACAGTCTTTGGCCTTGGCCTTAACTTCATCATGCTCTGTTTTGTTTTTGGCTTTTACCCCTTGTTAGATCAATCTATCTCTCTCTTATCATTGTTATCATTATTCTTTTTTACGTTTAATAGTCTCCGGTGTTATTTTATCCAATCTTTCTAATAATTACGAATTTTAACAGAAACATTCATTCATTTTATCTCAGTTAACTTGCCTCATTCACACCACCTAGTCCGTTGTTTGTTTATTAACTGTACCATATTTACATAGCTCCCCCATGTTACCAACTGGCCTCTATGTCTTCAACTAACCATCATTATTGTTTTACGCATGAATTCCTCTTTATGAATTTGAAGGGCCAAGAGAAAATTTCGTTGAGTTGTGTATATAACCGTGACATCCTGTTACCATTTATTGACCTGCTCTGAATTCGCCGTTATGATTGACCTTTACTCTGTGACCATCTCTGTCCATCTTAACTCCTTACCGATATTCTCTTTTGTTTCAGTGAATTAGCGTTATTATGACTATCTGAAATAGCCATGGTTTGGCAGACTAGTACTACTACTGGGTGGTGATTTAAGGCAAAATGAAAATTTGGACCACGTTGGGATTCAAACCAGCAGCCACCGGGTCTCCGGTCCAGTTCTCTGCCATCTGAGCTACGAGACCCGACTGCTGACCAGTGTGAGTACGACCAAGCGGTAGTAATTGAGGAATCATCCAGAGATTTTTTTACTTTCAGGTTGATATTTATCACAGACTAACATCAGTTGGAGGAACATTGGAAACCTGAGAGCACTGGACAGCTGTTTTGTTCTAGTGTGGGACTACTCAGAAGTGCTCACTCACGACCCCGCCCCACCAGGGATCGGACTCAGGACCTTTAGATTCTGCGGCCACTACCTTATCATTGAACCACTGGGTAGGAAAGCAATGATCCGTATTTTCTACTTCAATCAATTCACAATATAGCGCGACCGCCATCCAATGCCGTTGTTGCATAACTGTACTCACATTCGACTTGGTTGGCCTCACTGGTCATGGCTTCTCATTAAAACTTCAGCAATCACATCTCGAAGGGAGTGACTAAAAACTCAAATCATGATAACTTGTTGATATGCAATGATCAATTTAGGCACAATTTTTTATAACAACGAACTATTTTGAATTTCCAAATCAATCACCTTTAAATGAAAACAAATCGCTAAACATTTTCTATGATAGAATATTCATCCGATGGTAGATAGGATTTACAGTAATGATGGATAATGACTAGCAGTGGAATTCCGGACGCACGTTTCGTCCTGTCTGGGTCTCGTCAGCTGAACATACCTGTACTCCAGAGAGCGATGTTATTCTCACTGAGACTTCAGTCTGCGACCGATCGCTTCAAACGCCATAGAAACCAATCAGTTCAGTCCAGTCAATGAAGGAGAATTACAAGCAACAACAGTAAAACTATACCCATCGCACAAGAAGTGGCTAACGCGACTCACAAACCCAGTGGATAACTCCCAAAGGTTCGATGTGACTGGTCCTAAGTTCGAGTCTTAGTGGGAGCATCATCACTCACTGGGATGCAGACACATTCAGATGATGAGTCTTGAATAGAACAAAACACGTGTCCTGGATCCCACTCCTAGCCATTATCAATCATTACTATCAAACTGTATCGAGGCATCCACGCCAGAGCCTATATATCAACAGAGGTAGATCGGATTGTTCGAAATTACAGGGTGGATATTGTCATTTGAACCTATTACAACACTACATTTAATATGTATTTAAATCGTTGGCATATTTACTGGTATTATCTTTATAAATTATTATTTGCAATTAAAATTAATTTAAACATTTACAGGTTATACTAGCATAGAGATGAATATCGAAATTGTACATTGAACAGGTGTTATGATTTGTTTAACACATTTATTTGACATGAATGAAAATGTTTCAGTAGTTTGATTAAAATGTCAGAACACAAATAGTAATTTTCTTACTTAATTCATATACTACCTAGAGATGATGTTTCATTAAACATTTACATTAAAATGTTTACATGAAATAATTTTCATCAAGTAAAATTATCCGGTTATTTATTCATCAGTGTTCACTAAATGCCTTACATAATACATCGTTTTCACTTGTTTGTTAGTTGAATGGGATAGGCATCTTCTATTCGATGTAGACTTCACCTGTAAGAGAATTCAATAGACATTCTTCTCTTTTCCATATTATATTTGTTTATTTGATGCATGCCGCACAGTGATACAGTATTATTTAGTTGATGACGACGTTTCGAGCATAAATGATTACTGCTCATTATCAAATCAATGTAATCACACTACTTTCGATATCTGATTTTTATAATCCTGTCACCCATCTCATATTTTTTGCTTATAATG